ACGGTCTAATCCATTGACCAAAAACCCTCCTCACTAGATCATCATCTTTTGGAAAGGAAGTGGTGGAGAGGGGCCATACTACACAGCTCTCACAGTATTTATGTTGATAATTTGAAGCAGCACAACATCGCCTTCTACTGGGCTCGAATGAGTGTATCGGATATAACTTTTTTTTTTCTTTGTCTTCTCTTACATTTAATCCTCAGACTCCAAACTGGGCTGCTCAGGACACGAGCTTCTACTAAAGTCATCATTATCGTCATGAAGACGTGGCAGCTGGATCTGTGTGACTGTTACCTAGGCTTTTTATTGCTTTTTATTATTAACTCCTCCTTCGACTGACATTGAAGTACTGAATTTTTTTAAAAAAAAGGAAAGTTATCAAGAAAAGGCTGCTAAGTTAGTGTCTATAACAATACTTCACTTTTATTTCTCATTATTTTATTCTCTATTAAACACTATTTCTCTCTGGGTGAGAGGATGTGATCTCTGTCTTTTCCTCCTTTTGACCACTTGATGGCAGTATTGGATCTTTTTCTAAGGCGAGAACATTTCCAGTGTCTTGAGACACGGTATTTGGGTTGAATTAATTGTCGTCAAACCTGTGTATAAACATTCGGACCCGACTGCCATCTGAGTAAACATTTCCTCCGGTGTTCTTCACGTCCGGTGTAACCAGACTTCAGGACACTGTTGTCACTGTGGTGTTTGTTTTAAACCGGGTTTGGTTAATAGCCCTCTGACGTCAGCACCCTCTGCTCTTCGGTGTTGGCAGAGGATGAAACGTCTGTGACGATGGCGTTCGTCCAAACGCACTTAAAATAAAAAGTTATTTTATACAGGTACGTCTAAAGTGTGGCCCCGGGGCAGATGACAGGTAAAAAAAAAAAAGAAGCTTTTTATACATTTATATGTTTTAAGGTTTTTGTTTTTAAATGGTAACTTTTTAACTAAGGTCAAACTATTTTGGTAGTTCATTTGTTTTTATGTTGTCACTCCTAAGCCGTTAAGTCCTTAACGGCTTAGGAGTGACATTTTATTTATTTAAGTGATATTGCGCTTGTGTTAACATTTATTTGGATATAATTTGCCATATTTTATCCAATATTTACCAAGCCTTAACCTGTCATTCCATCTTTCAACACACACACACGCATTGTATGTTTGTCATTTTATCATTTGTATATTTTAAAATACACTTTCTCTACCATTTATAGAGACTGCTTTTATTTACATTTTGTGAGTTATTTTTTAGACTTCCGTTTAAGTTTTATTAATGTGGCTAACTTGACTTTTGTTCTTTGGCCTCTAAACTGAGAAACTGTTTTCAGGGTTGAGCTGCAAACGTTTCCATGATTTTCCGTGATTTTGTTTTTAAATTTGGCACAAGATGGAAACTACTTAGCTTTATTTTCTTTTTCTTTTTTTTAACCATAATAAATGTAAAACAAAACCCATATTTTAAGTATCACAGTGGGGCAGTTGTAGTTCAGGAGGTATTTTCTTTATTTAACATAGTATTTTTATGACCTGAGCTCCTTTTACTGCTGAGAGGACACAGCTGCAGCTCTGTGTGTGTCATTAATACAACCACAGCTGCTGGGTGTTCAGCTAACGATGGTTAAAGACAGGAGCTCCAGGTGTGTCTCTGTCCATGTCAGGATTCCTTCTGAAGACAGTCCTGGGGGAGTGGCTGACAGTTGGGCTGAGCAGCTCCGACTCCCAGCCACTCCTCCAAACTCTTTTCCTTTCACTCACACATACACACTCACATTAACAGACTTTTTCCTGGATGCTGCCAGCACTCAGAGCTGACGTGGGCTGAGGTTTGAGACTGGAACAGTTGGTAACTATCTGTGGTTGCTGCTGCTGCTGCTGCTGTGACTTTTCAGACAGGATTCAAACCGGTGGCTGAGCTCTTTCATGAGCTCTCTTGAAGACAGAAATGTTCTACTGTTTGTTTCTGACCTGCAGCATGGACGTCCTGGCTGCCTGGGCCGTCACCAACCCGGCCGTGGCTCGGGTCCTGTGGGTCCTGGTCCTGGTCCTGGCCACCCTCCTGCTCTGGCTGTTCTTCTTCTGCTGCTACAGCTGGAACCACAACTCCTCGTCTTCCTCTCTGGAGAAGTACCTGGCAGGTAGGTGCCATGCACTCTCCACCAACCACACCTCCTTCTCCTCACTCTTACCACCAGACTGATGCTGAATACTGTGAGTGAAGCTTTAAACTGGCAAACACTTCAGAGGATCCTGTTTTTTTTTCTCTCTCTCGGTCTCTGCTCTGGCTGTTGTAAATTGTTGGTTTCCTTTCCGGAGACTGAACGTTCCACATTTTTCCAGAAACTGCAGCCTGTTTTGTTTTTTTTTTAGCCCCTGGTTCTGTCTCTGTCCTTGTGGTGGGGGCAGCCGTTGTTTAAATGTGTCTTTACAGCCCTGTG